AATGGCATTCGATTATTTTTTGAAACAACTTTTTCTATTCGATTAACCGGGTAATCGGTTAGTCGATTAACAAGAGCTCTACTAACAAGCAAATATTGCGACTAAAGGTCTATTTACACCCATCAGTGCCGTTTTAATACCGTACGGTGGTAAATCTAGAATCCTTTTTCCGTGGCTGTTAGAGCCTTTATTTTATTTTTTTTAATTTCAAGAATTAACACATATCGTCGCCTGGCGTGAAATACCGCGTATGAAGATCCGATCATTGGATCATGAAGAAATTAGCGTTTTTCTAAAATTTTGTATGAAAATTTAAGGCGGTTTTGTTTTTTTCAAAATAGTACTTGTTGTCTATATAAACAGAACTTTCAAAAGAACAACGTCATTTACATATGCAAAATTATCGGTGCCGACGTATTTTTTATTCACTTTACAACAATAAAATACACTACAGGATAATAATTTTTAACCAGATAACCTGCTAACCAGGCAAGTGTGAACAACCCAACTGATTCTGAACTGACAAGGCACTGAAATGTGTAAATAGACCTTAATGTAGTTTGGGCAAATATGGAGGCGTATAGGAAAGATTTACGTGATGCATGGCGAGTTTCTTTGTGAGCTTGCATTTATTATGTTTACGCGAGTTTGCGATTTGAACATATTGACCCCAAAGTGCATTGCATGTTTATTATCATAAAATCAGACATATACATTATTGTGTGCGCATGATTATGCATTAAAAATGTATCTGTTTTCATTGGACTGTCAATATATTTCTCTAAGCCTATGTTTGTATGTCGATATGTGTTAAATCGCCTTTCATTTTACGTTGCCTGCTTTGCTGTGCTTATTTGATGATTCGATGCAAATAGTATCGAACTATATTTGCCTTCTCTATTGGCGGCTGCATTAGTGCATTTACGCATTTTAGATTGGCACAGAAATACACACAGTCAACCTGCCACTGTTTGCACACATCCATATGCACAATGTACATGCATACACATATAGATGCTCACTCATTCCCGGCACATTCATTCTCGGCTCCTCTTTGCATTACGATTTTGCCATTAGGTTTGTTTGCGCCACTATCTCTGCGATTTCACAATGCCTTCTAGTTTTGTATTTGTTTTTAATTAGAATTTTGTTGACATTTGGAAATTTAGTTAAATTGGGATGCACTTTGCAGTATTTGCCGACTGTCATTGTCCCTATCTGAGCACCACTCGATTGCTAGCTTTTACTTTGATTGCGATTGTACATAAGTATGTTTATATGTGATATCTGAACATTCTGAGAGTATTTTTTGCACTGTTCTTTTAGTGCAACAGTGAGATAAAACAGCATTAGGTCACCATAGAAAAAGTTGCATACAATTAAATAAATTTAGTTCTTTCTATATGTACACTTCCAACTCACTTTTTGGCTATCATATTTCAAAAGATAGTACATTTTGTACTCGTAACTTACCAGACAACTTGCGTCAGAGATGCCGGATTCGCGACATATTCACAGTTGAGCAACACTGTGTCGCTGGTATTTACTGTAATCTCCGGCGGACTGACTTTGACTACCGGTGGATCTGCAAAGGAGAAATTTTCGCATGAAATTCGTTACACTAATTTTACGTTGCATGAAACCATAAATATTGGTGTTGGTGTTGTGGTTTTTCTGTTATGAAACTTACATAAAACTTCCAGTGTCAATGATGACGTGAATGGTTTTTCTCGGTTTATCTGCAGCACGACATTGTCCGCGTCACACCGAAATATCATGTCATTCTCGAAACGTGTCGCGTTGAAGATAAGCTCTGACTGCGTGTGATACGTGCCATCGTCCTTCTCGAACTAGTAATATGGGAAACAGAAAGAAAAAACAGAAATTGCAGGGTATACATATGTATATATACATTCATAGTTAAGAGAAAATAGGTTTTTGATTTTACAGGCGGTTTTACTAATAAAGAGCAATGAAAGGTGCAAAAAAGTTTTTGAAAATCTGGTTTAAAAAGAGGAAACAAGTAATTTGCTTTGCCTTTTGACTTTGTGTCTTAAACTTATTTTTCTTCATATTACAGCGTAATTTACTTTAACTCGATCAAGTTACTTCACACAAACCAAGTACGTTCATATTTTGTTTCATAATTTCTATAGATATGTGATTAGCACGTGTACGTAGGATTGTGTTGTTGTACTTTATTTAAACAAAAAAAAAAAAGCAGATCAGTCCAGTGCCTTCGTCTTGACTAAAACTTAAACGCAGAATACGTAATTCAGGTTGAATTTAAATTTTAAAATAGGTTGGCAACCCTCCTACATGTAGTTTAGAAATAAATCTCTTCAAAGCAATTTTGATTGATATCTATGTATATTGAGGTAATTTATTAAACCTATGGCATAAATTAAATTAAACTTTGTAAACAGGTGGCAACCCTCTGCAAAATATTTCCAAACCACAACCTCTTTCGTCTGGCACCCATATCGGGATACATATTTCAATTTTATGATTGCCTTAATTTAGGTTGAGCTTGATTTTTTTAAACAGGTAGTAGTTTAGAAATAAAGGTCTTTCAGTGCCATTTTGAAATATATTGTACTAATACACTTAAACTGCTTTACACAACTCTTTTCAAAATATTTTCGACAACCTCTTTCGTCTGACATTCATATCGGGATATTTATTTTAATTTTCTAAATACCTTAATTTAAGTTGATCTGGATTTTGTAAACGGGTAGCAACACTCCTTCATGCAGTTTAGTAATAAAGGCATTTTATAAGGCCATTTTGATTGATACCCATATTATAGTAATTCCTTTAACCTATTGTATACAATAAGTTTAACTTTGTGAACAGGTGGTAACACTGTTCAAAATATTTTCAAATGAAAGCCTTTTCAATCTTTTAATTTAATTTGAATTTAATTTATGAAACTGGTGGAAATCCTCCTACGGGTAGTTTGGGAATAAAGTTTTTCCAAAGCCATTTTCATTGATATCTACTATATAATAGTAATGCATTTACCTTTTGTATACATTGAATTTACCTTTGTAAACAGGTGGCAACCCTCTTCAAATATTTTCAAACCATAACCTCCTTCGTCCGGCACATATATATACATATATCGGGATACATATTTCAATTTTCTAAATGTCTAATTAAAGTTGAACTTGATTTTGTTTTTGTTTTTATGCTCTCACCCCCTAGGATTGTTCTATACCGAAAAAAATATATATCCCTATTTTTTAATTTGAAATCAAAAAATATTTAGACGTTGCTCAAAGCGCCCAAAGTTTTCCATGTAATTTATATGGGGAAAAACAACTTTTCGTAGAAACGGTATATAATTCCTAAAATCAATATTTTCTATCGAAAAACTCTATTTAGCTGCAGGAGAATCCCAATAATAAACATTATTAATCATTTTTTCATCGCAACTTTAATTCATAGGTGCGCCAAAACCCATTAAAATCCCGAAAAATGCAATGGGCGGACCAATAAAAAATAGTGGTGGCAAACTATCGATGGCACTATCAGTATCGGTGGGACATCACTATCGCAACTATCAATGGCGATCACTATCGGCCATATCTGAAGTTCGATGCTATCGAGGAATTGCCATATCTATGTATGATTTTTATGTACCATACATATGTTGAAACGCGTTTGTGTGAAATTTTTTATAATATTCGTGCGGATAGTGTAACAAAATATGGACAAATATCTAACTCACAATGTCAAAGATCACGTGTGTTATAGATATGTTTATATTGCATGTGTTTCATTTTATGTAATAAATTTTACAGAAAACTAGAGTTTAAGTCATGAATCTTTTTGTACAAAAAAATCTGCACATAAATCGTAAAAGTAAAAATGTTAAAGTTGTATAAGTAAATAAACAAGAATTTAAGTAAATTAATGAACATTTTATAGTGTCGCGAAATATATTTCTCTTTTTTTCTTTGAAGCTAATTAATTTTTTATAAAAGCCCAGCTTAATGTCTAATGAAAACCANCTCTTTTTTCTTTAAAGCTAATTAATTTTTTATAAAAGCCCAGCTTAATGTCTAATGAAAACCATGTAAACCCCTATTTCAAACTTTGTGCAACAATTAATAAAATTCCTCACAGTTTCACCGAAATTCCTAACTTTGGAATCAGAATTTTGAGAAAAATGTTTGGTGTGAAATTTTAAAGTCCATTAAATTTTAGTATAATAAACGGTGTCACGTATTTTCTTCAAACGTAATTTTTACATGTCTTTTTGCTGCATTCATATTAAAAAAATTCATCCACACTATCGAGACTATCGGCGGCAGCGCACTATCGAGATTATCGATGGCAGCGCACTATCGGAAAAAATTACTATCGGCACAATCGATAGTGACCCAAAAGACTATCATCAACTATCGATGGTGTCCACTATCGATAGTTTGCCACCACTACTTCAAAGGTGATACATTTCAAAATTATACATTCGTCAGAAAATGCGAAAAACTATATCTTAGCACGTGCCAATGATATGAGCAAGGAAGACTTTACCTTAGGTTTTTTTTAACAAATTATAACAGACATTTTCTCCAGCTGAAAGGTAAATAAAAGCTCTGTGTACATTTTTAGTGCATGATTTGAAAAATGCCAAATTTTGGGTTGCGTCACTTTTGAGGATCGATTTTGCAATCGACTTTGTTATCGATTTTATTATCGATTAACTGTCGATTTTGTTATCGATTTTTTTATTGATTTTGCTATCGATTTTGTTATCGATATTTTTATAGATTTTGTTGTCG